GACACTCTACCATAACAGCCCTGATGTGTGTTAATCCCACTCACTGGTATAGTTGTGAGCTGTCACTGCCGTGCTCTTATAGTCCATCACACCTACAGTAACAACAGAGATGTTGTAGGGGCTTCCAGACTCAAGATTGTCCAACAGGAACCAGTTGTTTGTAGTCAGATAGGAGCCCTTAATGCCGGACACACTGAAGTTGTAACTATTGTTGTCCATGCCGTCTGGAAATGTCCAGGTAAAGTTGATGGACTCCACAGTCTGAGACACCACTGTGATGGGGCCAGGAGGGTTGGGAACTGAAGAGGAGAAGGAAAACTGTTTCAGTAGAGCTCGATTCCAACACTACAGCATCTTTAAAATAAAGACTGGTAACAATTGTCTACAGATTATTAGTAGTAGTATTCACAGGTTTTTAAGTCACAATGTCAATGGAACTCACAAGTAGCATTGCAAACATCTGAACTGTTGCTCTCCAAAGGTCCACTTTTTGTGACCACCACCACACAGTAAAGCACTCCTGGGTTCAGGTTCAGACACGTATTGTTTACAGTTGTGTTGCTCAGGCTCTTGTTGCAGGGCACCAATGTCCCGTTTCTGTCCAGCTGGACGGTGTAGGAGTCCACTCGTCCCTTTGCTGGGATCCAGCTCACTGACATGGTGGTTGTGCTTCCTATGGCCGTGATGTTTGAAACTACGTCAGGCCCTGGGGGGAAGAAGTCAACTTGAAAAAAATATACATGTTTGGGTGGTAACAGAATAACTGTAACACTGTTGTTTATTCTAAATAAGTGTCAATTCAAAATTGAAGCAAAAAAGCAAAAGTTGCATTTGAGAGAATTGCTTTTGGCAGCAAGGAAAATCCTTAAACATGTTTTCTAAACCTGTTGTTTTCTACCTTTTATTACCTGTGTAGTAACTTTACACCTACAATTTGGCAAGTTATTCTCAACGGAGCTTAGAATATTGATTTTATGCGTGGAGCTCAGGGGAGTACTGCTGTGGCTCTGGAGGAAACATTCCTACAAAGTTGGAAGACAAGTTGTGTCTTAGTCCACCACCCCTATTTAGTGCCCACCAGGACAATAGGCGTCGGTTGACAGGGGAGGATCCAAAGACAGGTAACGACCCTCACTGATACTGGGCTGTAACGACTCAGTCATTAATGGGCAGTGTTGGCCTTCTAAGGACTGAAACCACACAGAGGGGGATAAATATCTCCGACTCAACACCAGTCAGTCAGAACTGATGAAACCTCTTGGATGAGAGGTGAAACGTCTTCGATCTAGATTTCCAAGTCCAGTTGATTTCCAAGGTTATTTCGGTTGCGGTAAAGATCTCAATAGATAAGGGTATTTTCATTTTGGTGGTTTTGCTTAGTATACCCTTACTTAATTTCTTTGAGTACACAAGGTGTTTAAAATTTTTAAGTGGATAGTACAGACTTCAGCAGTTTGGCAGCATTTAAACGTGTAGCTACAACATTCAACACTGGGCTGGGCACTAAAACATACTATGGAGCACTCAGAGAGTGCATGTAGGTTCAACAAGGCACAACACTCAAGCAAATGGGTCCCTTGTGAAAAATGATATTCAGAACAACACAAAATGTGTCCTAAAATTCTTGATCCAGCTCAGATCTGGATCATCTTTTAGGGTACGATAGGCAGTTATACTGTGTATTGTACCTGAGCATTTCAGGGTTTTAGCTTCCTTATAGGCCAAGTTATGGCAGAAAATATCAGTTAACTGCAGTTTTCAATGTTAACTTTAAATAGTCTTATACTTATATAGCTTTTTTTATGCATTCCAGCACTCTCAAACCGCTTTCACACTATTTGGCCATTCACCCATTCATGTATCGGGATCATCACCAGAAGCAAGTGGGGGTTCAGTGTCCTGCTCAAGGGCACTTGGGGAATCAAACTGCTAACCTTGGAGACAACCCGCTCTAACTCCTGAACCACAACCACCACCCCAACTTGAAATGGCTGTCAGGTCTGGAATCCAGATCAGAACCAAACGAAATTTGGTCAGGTAACAGACATTACCAACTTGCTGATGTGTGTTAAATTTGTGACGGAAATGTGATGTTTTAAAATTTTGCCCCATATTAAAGACAGGGATTTTTGTGGTTTTTCATAATCTTGTGTGACCTTGATCTTTGACGTTTTTCAGACAAAATCTAATCACCTCTAGGGTTAGTCCCTGCCAATGTGGATCCATATTCTGGATCTCATTTTTCACAAAGGACCCATTTGCGTGAGCAAATGTTGTGCCTTGGTGGAGGTACATGTGCTCTCTGAGTGCTCTTGTTGTTTCAGCGACATTGTCTTTCCAGTTGCTTGTTCCATCAGTCTACTGTACTCTATAAAAGGAGCATTTTCCCACTGGCTCAGTCCAGTTCAACATTATACAGTAGAGGATGTGGTGATTTCAGTGAGGCTCATGACTACTTTGGGCTCTGTGAGAGAATTATATATGGAAATACGGACGGAGAGTCTGTATTGTGCATCTAAATATTGTCCCAGCAGCATTACCAAGTTGCTTCCATGCATCAGTGTAGTACATTATTATCACTTCTGTATCAGATAACTGCAGTTTATTCATATTGAGTATAGTGCACTTTGTTCACAGTCAAACAACAGTCAGACATGCTGCACTGTAGCAGTGCTGTAGGTTAGATGCTGTGTAAAGTCACTGTTGTCAACATGTTCTTGTTGACGGGTTCAGGTCCAGAATATAAGCGCTTCAACAAAGTAAACAAACTTACTTGTTGTGACATTTGTGCAGCATGAAGAACAATTAAAGAATATCTGATAAACAGCTCCAGGAGTCAGACCAGATATCAAACCATTTACAGAGACACTGTTCCCAGTGGAGATTGTGCAGTTTGACCTCCGTACTGTAATTGTTGTTGTACCTGTTACAACTTCTGTTTCACTGCTGCTACAGTCTAATAAATGAACAACAAGAAAAATTAGCAAAAATAGATTTTAAAAAGTTATTTACATGTCATTTAACAGGCCTATATTAAAATAATAGTTATTTAAAAAAATAGGTCTGTGGAGTAGAGGACAGAGAAATGCAAAGTAAATCATCTTCTACCAGCAGAGGTCAGCACTGAGTTCTGAACAGCTTCAAAGAATAAAAAAAAAACCAGCCACATGTTCAGTGCCAAGGGGCATGAGTGAATCAAGCAATGACTGATAGGACAAGGCTGTTGAAATAAAATCATTAAACTGAATCACTATTAAATAGGTAATGTTTCTTAACACTGGCCTTTTGGAACTTTTTAAAATTTCATTTCCCAAAGATTTCATTTAATAGGTATCAAAGCTTGATACAAAAGTGACAAGTAAAGTTGGTGTCAAATGCTTGGTTAGATTCTTAGCCTTCTTCACTTGTGCACTGGCCCCATATCTACTAATTTCAATTAATTGGAGAATATATTTTTTAAAATATATTTTGTAAACTCATATAGGTACAGATATTGCTATCTAGCCTTAGTTCCTTACCAATTAATCAAATGTAATTATATTACATCTAAACACGCAGGACACAGCTTGTAAAATAATCACAATGCATATGTTTTTAAATATGAACTCTCACTAGAACCCACAAATCCATGTAATTCATATTGCTATGAAGAGAGAGAAAAAAACATAAGCACCCAAAACACACAAAAGCTCAGCACAAAGTCTTGCTGTAAATGATAAACATATCATGCTTGTGTGCCAGTTACTGCAAACAAGGAAGTAAACTCAGCTATCAGTAATCATTATGTAACGCCATAAATGAATTATTATTAAATGTGAAGAATTAGTGTTGAGAATATACTTCTTCCTTGTAAGACATTTCATCTCCCAGGCTGCAACAAGGCTACAAATACTTTTCACAGCAAACGGTAATCACACACACTCATGCATGAGGACATACAACCTCAGGTCCATACAAATCAAACTCTGTTTCACCTGTATCCTGGGACGAGGACTCAACACCCAGCTTCGATTCCACATAACCCATTAGTCAAAATTTAAACAGCCCTGAGTCACTCACTGACGTGTTGCCTTTCAGCCTATTCACCACATAGCTAAACATTAAAAGCATGGTGTCACTGCTCAAACCTGCATCGCTCTCTCCCACACAGAGACCACAGATAGGGTCGTTCATTAACTCAAACAAATGGGAACAAACTTCACAATCATTTGTTATAGCATCCATTATGGTGTAATATGAAAAAAATCTGCTGTATGTATATTTTTCCCCCAGTATTCACAATGATATCTACATAACATGCTTTGGCAATACTGTTCTTAATTAAAGTAGAGCTGATAAAGCAAATCTGAATTAGGAATCTTGGAATAGAGTAGATAGGCATCAGACCAACCAAGACAAAAAAGGTCTATTTTGCATTAAATGTTTCTCATTCATCCACCCGTCCCTGTAGACTGGTGTCCCCTCCTTGACTTTTCCTTTTATATTCACGGCAATGACCTAACCCTTCCTCCAAACCGCCTGAGGCTCTGCTCTTCTTTCATGGGTGTACAATGCCACACAGTGGTGCAGGAGGAGTTGCAAGGCTCAGTATTCTTTGAGCAGGAGGAAGATGTTTATGTATGGGAACCTCAGTACAATACAATATATAGACTGTAACAGTATAAAGAGACACATCATTACAAAAATGATAACATACAGTTGAGTAAAACTATTGCTTATATGTGCATTTTATCTATTGCAGAAGCCAGTTTTTGAATTTTTTAAAAGGTTTTCTAGCCCCCTCAAAGGTTAACCAACCAACCAACCATCATGCCAAATGTTTAACTAGAATAAAAAACTTCAGTTGGGTTGATTTTGCACATTAACAGGAGGAACAGCCTGTATGAGGAAGTGTACATCTGCATGAATACACTTCTGCTGTTTGAGCTGTGTCAGCACAGCTGAGCTTTACACAAACGCTCTGTCAGAAAAAGTGTCAATGGTTGTTTCTCAGAATTTCTCACTAACCACAAGTTAGTGACATCAATTACTTTCCCCTACTTTTATCTTTGAACTTCAGCTTTTAAGACAACATGAACGAGTAGTCCTTGAAGTGTTCACAAAAAGGAAGTTTAGAAGGAAGTTTAGACATCTACAATTTCAGGACAGCTGCTCAAACTCCATCTGCTGATGAAGATTATGTGATCAAAAGCCCCGGACCGGTTCCCAGTAAGAACTAGTGAGAATACGTTCTCAGCTCAACAACAGTTATGACTGGCAGTTAGCAGTGGAAAGAAAATGTATGAGGACATTTTGGAATTACCTGGTTTCCTCCATTAACTGGTTGGAATGTCACAGTGTGCTGAAGCTAATAACTCTCAATCATTTGTAATCCTTGCTGTTTTTATTGAACACACCCATTTACAGTGCTGCTCCCAGTAGCTGTGGATCAGAGCGGTGTAAATAAGAAATTTTGGACCATTCTTCCTTACAGAATTGCTTCAGCTCATTTGCAGACACTCAGTTTAACTGTGGACTGCTTTCCAGCTTCATGTAAATCAGCAGTTGATCCTAAGTCTTCTAAGAACTCTTTTCACATCAAACTCAAAATGCTGGGGGTGTTTTTATAAGTCAGCGGTGTTTTAATCTACACCTCCAGTCTGGTTTCATTGATCAGACTCCCAGTTAGCAAACTCCCGACTCCTGGCTCTTTTATGATTTATTCAGTATTGACAAAAACAATGCATCTGTGAGTTATTACTTAAACTAGACATTTGCTCATATTGTAACTTTGAAGATCAGACCACATTTTAAGACATATTTAGACGTGCAGTAAATGCAAGTCCAAACGGTTCACTGCCATTTTGTCAGTGTATAAAGCCAGCTCTGTTCAAAAACTAGTTGGTGTAGTGAGAGATGTTTTAATTTAGGGGTACACAAACATAGTAAACACATGTAAACCTGCTCATTGTCTGTGTCTGACCTGAATGACAATGAAATAAACTTCTTCTACCTCAACAAGAAAATAGTTAAGGTCACATACAAGTATGTGAGGGATGCATCTTAATGATCTCATATCTTCATACAAGTATTCATGTCAAACTGACCTCCTGGGATGTGACTTCTCTGCGCCATGACTCCCAAATGTTTTATTTACCCTGGCTCTCTTCCTAAGAATCACTTATTTTCTCCTGACTAAATAAACAAAACAATGTCTTAAACCATTACACTTTGGCACTGACAGCAAAAATAACCCAAGATTAAAGTCTCAGTTTGGGAAACCCTGCCCTTAAAATACTGATGTTCAGCTAATGGATGTCATTTTTCTTATGAGTCCTGTGCTCATCCTCCCTGTTTTAACCCTCAGTTCTAATCTCAGAGAAATAATTTTGTCTGTAGCAGTTTTTAGAAGCTCTCTTGATTTACTTCTTACAGACTTTTACTTGAGAAGCAATATTTAATGTACATTGTGAAACATGCTCGGGTAAAACAAAGACCATTTTGGCCTGTGTACTGTATCCGTGCCCTTTGATTGGATACATCTGCAAGAGGAGGAGGAGGAGGAGGAGGAGGAGGAGGAGGAAATGGCTGTACCGATCACTACATAAACATTACATCAACTCTAAAGGTAGCCTGCCTGCCACTCTCTGATTCCTTTTCCAACAGTCTGCCTTTTGCTGTTCACCACCTGATAACGCTCCAGTTCCTTCCTCCATAACAACACCTAGACCCAGATACAATGAAAAATTTACCTTAACAGCTCTATGCTCTGGGAGTAGCCCAAATAACCTCAGCTTCTCAAAATCTGATAACTTGGAACAAAAGCATGAGGAAAAAAATTGCACTGATACTGCTACTTTTTTTGCTCCTTGAATTACGCAAAGTTGCATAAGGCTGATGGGCTCCTGATAGTGCCCTTGTTGACTTGCTGAGTGGAGAAAGAGGATTCCTCTATGGCTGTAAATTCAGCAAAATAATGTTATAGTATCTGATGCAAACCATATCATTTGTGTGTATGTGTGTGTGTGTGCACATGCATGGCTATACATTGTGAGGAGCAGTTTCTGTTTTATTCCATAGGAATGAAGACATTTTAGGATGGTTCTCACTTTCTCACACACCATCATAACCCACCATTTGAGGGTTAAGCCTTGGTTTTAGGGTTAAGGTTAGCATTAGGTTTAGTTTAGTTTAGGTGCTGGATGGAATGCGTTATGTCATTACTATATGTGTGGGTGAGTGAGTTCCATCCATACATCCATTATCTATATCACTTAGTCCTCTAATAGGGTCGAGGGGGGAGCAAACATCGCCGGGGAGGCGGGGTACACCCTGGACAGGTCACTAGTCTATCACAGTCTAGGGCTGACATGTAGACAAACAACCACACACGCTCACTCCTAAGAGCAATTTAGAGTCACCAATGTCTTTGGACTGTGGGAGGAAGAGAACCCAGGCAGGTACAGCAAGGAGATCCAAACTCCGCACAGAAAGGTCGGCACGGACTTGAACCCGAAACCTTCTTGCTGTGAGGTGATAGCACCAGCTGAGCTTAAACTACTGTATAAAGAACAAAATGGATGAAGGCAACAAAATGCAGAAAAGAACAAGGGTGGATATGAGAAACTATAGGTTAGAAGCAACTTTAAAAAGGTTGTTCTGGACTGCTGTTTTGAAAGTGTGGGAGTGTTCCTGATGTGTGTGGGCAGTGAGTTCCAGAGGGTGTGCTGACATTTGAGAAAGTCACAACTTTCACTTTCTTCTGACAGCCTCAAATAAACTAGACGTTTGTTCTCTATTTAAAGTGCATGGCCTCAGTAGTTTCTCATAAGTGAGCGACTCATTGTTTCTGCTCAAACACAACTTCCTGGTCCTTCCAGAGCCCTCCCACAGACCACTCATAACAGACCTTTAACGTTAAGTATTATGCTGTACTTCATGCCTCTAGCTCACTAAAGTC